TCGGAGCAGTACCAGTAACATTAGAACAAGAGGTGCAGTCCTGTTTTGTATTTCTTGTCAATAGTTATAAGTAATTAAGAGTTTTGGCGTAGGTTACGTAGGTAATTATAAGATTTTTAATTATGTTCTGAACTTAATTATTATATACGAGAACATCCATCTAGTGTTAGAATGTCACACTTATTGGTTATCTTACGTCGTTCTAGTCTGTGCGTCGTTCGTTGTCCTTGGGAATCCCAAAATCCCACATTAAGATTCTCAGGTGTTTAAAACTTACATACCTACAAATAAACGGAGAATATTTGTCGTCAATGCCGGAGAATATTTGTTATTTTGTTGATTTTGGATTAGTAATAATAGTTCCCTAGTAATATTTTGACAATGACTGGGAAATATAGTCAGCAATATCGTTCAGAGTGGAAGTTGATGTCCGAATTTAAACTACGGCTTCAACCCGTCGAAAACGACTCCACAAAAGCATACTGTAAGTATTGCCAGTGCAAGCAATATTATAGCTAAAATCTACTGTTCAAAACACCTTTTTTCTTCTGAACACGTTAAAGCTTTGGAACCTTTGGAAGCTTTGTTTTGGAGATTTGGATTAAAAGGTCAAACAAAAATTGAGTTCCCGAAAATAAAAAAAAAAACTAAGCAACAATGTTGAAATATCCAAACTATATACCTGATAGCCTTAACGGAGACTATAAGTGGTCGCATTCTGAATCCTACGGCCAGAGTTAACGTACTGACACAAAATCTTTCTAGTTACGTTGATCCGTCGTTGTATATGGGGTACGCTTTCGAGACAAAGTTAAGGGAATATAATTTAACACTTCAAATGGCGCAGAACGTTAAACAACGATGCCTAAATTTTACTCTGAAACTTGTCAACGAAGTACAAGCAAGATTGCCTACAAACTTTGTCTTAAAGTAAATGCCTAAAGTGATCAGGAGTTGACTCCAAGGGCTCTCAAATGAGAATTGCCTTTGTTGGTTTGTTTTGATCTAATAGATCAAAAGACGTTGGCAAATCTCCATCAAATATATCATTTTGACAAATCTCTATTTATATTTTCAAGATATAATTAACAGTCACTCATCGTGTTGTATGTTGCATTTCTTAACCATCCTGTAATGTTAATCTTTTTTTTAGTTGTGTCTTGGGAAGATGAAGAAAAAGATATAATAAAATCTTGTTTCAATTGTGAAGTAATAAAGGAAAGATATCCAGTATAACATAAAAGAACGGCTGTGACAATGAAAGCTTGGATCGCTGCGGAAATAAATAGAAGGAATAGGAAATGAAGGTTAATTTTACTCTTTTTTTAGATATGTTCATAATGTGCCTTTTAGATTCATGTTTATCAGAGTTGATATTAAAAAATTTAAATTTATATTTTTAGTGGTTTATACCCATTAAAACATAGAATATACAGCGTGTCCCTCTGTAATGTCCGGAAGGGGGAAAAGGTTTTTATTTGTGGGTTTAGACAAAAAGTTACTCATCATAAAAACTCCTGCTTGTTCCAAAACGGTCAAAACTGTTAAAATATTTGTCATTGGGCGCAAGAGGCAGATGTCCGGACCTGGATGAATCGCACCTTGGCTTTGAAAGAAGATTTTATACTCGGTATTCAGTGGTTAAAAACAGGAGAAGTAACAGTGGACTATAAACAAAGGGACATTTATTTTGGTACTGAACAAAGAAGGGTAGCGTACTGGCATTATAATAGATACACTCGAAGTTCTATGCGCCAGTGGTATTAGAAGAAAATTGTTGAAATAATTAATTACGAGGCAGTTGTTAATGACTTTCCGGAAGTATTTCATGAAGAGATAATGCAACCATGTACAAATTTGGTTGGGCATGAAATCCGACTCCGAGACGATAAACCATTTAGATAAAAAAAGCAAATTATACAAAAATAAGTAACCAGGATGCTCCAGGTGAGGGTGATTCGGAGGAGTCACTCCCAATACCAATCACCAATCGTATTAGTTGCAAAGTCTGATGGGACGACTCGCTACTGTGGTGGCTATCGTCACACAGAAGACGATGTCTCAATATTGCCACCAATCACGGATACATTGAAGGATATTGGGGAAGCTAAGATATTTACATCACTCAATCTTAAAAGTCAATACTGGCAAGTGCCTATGGAAGCTGCCAGTATCCCACTTACAGCGTTTCATACGCCAGTGGCGTATGAGTTCGTCGTCATGCCGTTCGGACTTAAAAACGTCCTTAACATTCCAAAAATTGATGACAGAAGTTCTGATAGGCTACATCAATAATTTTGTTCAGGTGACGACATCGTGGTCTATTTAAAGTCAAGAGAGGAACATGCCAGACACTTCCGCGTAGTCCTAGAAAGATTAAGATATCGTAGCCTAAAATGTACAGTAAAGAAATGTAGATTCGCGTCTGAACTAAATTATTTGGGGCATAAAATTACGGACACCCATAATACCGCACAGAATAAACATTTTGAGCAGATTAACCAATTTCCTACCCCTAGAACGCAGAAAGAACTACAGAAATTTTTGGGACTGGCAAACTGGTTACGAGAGTACGTGGAAGGATTCTCGCAGACAGGGGTCCCAGTGACCAGGTTGCTAGGGAAGAAAAAATTTGTATGAGATGTAGAAGCCGAGGAAGCGTTTAAAAGGCTGAAAATTGCGTTATCACAACCCTTATCTTTACATAGATTCGACCCCAACGAACAATTCATACTACAGACACATGCTAGCTCGGTCGGAATGGGAGCCATTTCGTTCCAGGAGACCCAATAACGAGAAGAGAGTGGTATCCTGCGCGAGCGCCAAATTCAAAGGCGGAAACTCGGTATCGTTGCAATGAGGAGGTCTTAGCGGTGGTTTGGGCTTGTCGCAGGTACCGAACCTGTTTGAAAGAAAGGACTTCCTTCTCCGAACTAATAGTAGAGCCCTCCTGTGGTTGCAAAAATATAGAGTCGGCCGAGCTAAGCTACCACGGTACGCCCTTTATCTGCAAGAATCAGGGATGTGAAGACTAAGTAAGTCTATTGCATCCGAACCAGCCTTAGTGGAAGGAAAAGTAATCAACAGTTATTAGTCGAAGTCCTACTATTGAGAACTTACCAGAGCAGAAGATGCCGGAACCCGACTCCGCTATAGCTATATCCATAGGAATGGAAATTGATTATTGCTAAAACTTGTATGTATATAACTTTTAATAGACTCGTGGTAGGCAACCACTCGTCTCCGAAGGGGGGTGGTGTCGCGGGTCGTGATTTTCGTGATTTTTAATTATTTCTATTTGTTTGTAAATGTTGTCAATAAGTCGTGCCGCGATCGAATGGAAATTGGGGTAACATTTTCGCGGCGAAATAGTTTTGTTCAGCCAATTGTTGATACCTACATTGAGAAGCGCGATCAAGGACAGTACTTTTTCATTCAAATATTCCTTTTTCAGTACTGATGCATATTGATGCGCAAGTTTTCGGGATAATTTGACCTAATGCTTGAAGTGAGTTTACGTTTACGTTTAAGTCTTCATAATTTCTACCTGTAGCGATAAATCGCAAAGTAAGTCTCTTATGGGGGCTTATTGACGAAGCGACCTACTTGGAATTGTTGCAACTAATTATGCCAGTCTGCTGGTTTTAATATTAATTCGCTTAAGCAGTAGCTACGTCACTGTTGAAAGCAAGTAAGATTTTTACAAGTACCTACCGTTTGTGAGAACTACGTAGTCGCCGCTGCTCATCGCTAGGGCTTATAAACTAAGCCACAGTTGAAGATTCAGGATTCAGTTGATCTCCAGCCGTCACAACGAACAGTCCAATCCGAAGACCACCGAAGTAAGTAAGGTTCCGCGCATATTTAATGCGCAAGTCTTCTGAGTTGATCGAAGACCTGGAAACAAGGTAATTACCCGAAAAGTGGGTATTTCCGGCGTTTTGGGTAAAATATTGGAGATAAAAGAGGAATACTCTGGCTGTTCTATGATCCATCTGTTGTCTATGCCACAGTATTGTGACTATGCTTTACTGTTCTGTGTTCGGCGTACTGTTCATGATCATATGCAAGCTGTGGTCGTGTTGTGTTCCTGTTCCGTATTAATGATTTTGTGGTTATGTTACTCGTAAGAAATGTAAGCAATCGTTTAATTTCTCACATCTGAAAATAAATATTTTTTATATTGTATGGTGTTCATTAGTTAAATAGCTGGTAGTAAGTAGTAAAGTGGCTGTTGACTAATTAATGCAATGGATAAATGGCTAATAAATATACTTCCTACTGCAAAGGATAAGGGACCTCAAGAAGAAAATTGCAACACAAATGATCAGCTTGTTTCACCCCCTGCATACGATTCTAATGCAAGTCCTCCAGGACCATATTGGGAAGAGTTCGTACTGATAAATTTAGTTGTTACAACTTACGACAATAACGAAATCTTCATAACTTAGTTGTATCACTACAAAGTGATGTTTGATATAAATATTAGGAAGGCAGTTGATTAGGTGTTGAAAAAGTGCATACGGATGACCAGATTGCAGATGTATTAACAAAGTCGTCAGATATAGTGAAATTTGGTAAATTTAGAGAAATGATGGAACTTTATAATTAGACTTTAAGAAACAAAAATATATATTTTGTGAGATGTTATAAAATGCATAAACCAAGAAGGTGTAACGTTTAATTTTTACCTTAAACGAGGGCATGTATCGTATTCTGAAAACTGAAACACCCATTATTTATAAGGTTTTATTTGCTATTTCTTTAAACATCTCTATCTATTTAAAATTTGTATTTTCATTCTAAAATTAACATCACACTGTATAGATAAGATTTTATCTTTTATGTTAAAAGGAAAAGGATATTCGTACAGTCCACCAATTGGATTTTCCTTGAACAGATTCGCTTTGCATTCCTAGCTAAAAAGTAATTTTATTAATAAAATAAATAACATTTTGAAAAACGTACCCTTTTTATAACAGTAGACAGGAGTGTTTATCGTTCCTTGGAGTTTTTGTAGGCGGCAAGTGGCATCTCGAAACGCAAAAATGCTGGGACCCTGAAATAAAGATTAAAATAATAGTTTATAAATATAAGTTTTGTATAATCTAATTCATTTCGTGATATGGTTTAGAGATTATTTACGTATCTAACAATTAACTAACGTAGCTCACCTTAAAGTGTATCTCTTACAGGCTTCTTAAATTTAAAATTCATGTAGTCCACTGGGCATTGTTTCTTGTTTGTTTATTTTATTTCAAATTTGACATCTCGCCATGTCTCCTTCGTCTTTTGTGATTATTGATCGACTTAAATTAAGTCAATTTGAGTCTGCGTGGTACAGTATTGCCCGATTGTGCATAGCATTTCTAAGTTGAAAACTCCCGATTATGACATCGTCTCATTTTAGTTACTTAATTTACACTTCGAATATAGTATTATAGGCCTCCGTTGCATTGTTGTATCAGGAAAAACCAATATTTTCAATTATTTCCGACATGCTTGACAGTAATTGGCAGAGCTATTGTCCAATCATACTATGATTAGTTTCCAGTTTTTTTTACGCGCGCTTTCTGGGTGGAAAGACAGGAGAAGGTTAGATTTTTTGGAGTGTGTGTGTGAATTGGTGGCCAGTAAAAAATCTTTGATTTCTGAAATCATCTTTAACTAGGAGCAATTTTTGTGGCCATTTATCAAGAATATAGGGGTAGATAGTGCTGTGGATTATAGTATTTTTGGTGTAAACCCCTTATTCTGACTTCTTATGAAGGATCACTGACACGCCGTGTGAAAATCGTATCCCCAGGAAAACGAATTGAGGTAGGCATTAGTCATTAGTTATTGTACATTTTTACCGGTAATTCAATAATATTTAGTAATAGTTCAGTTCAAATTGCAAATTGTAAGAATTGTTTCCTTATCATTAGGTACCATAAGGTCCGTATTCGTCTGTCCTCATACTCATATAGCCTACAAGCGGCTAGTTTTATAAAGAACCCTTTAGTTATGGGTAATTATTTTTATTATAGTTATTTCTCTTTTGTTTTACATTTAGCCTTTTGTAATAAGCTCTATACTTTTGTAGCTGTAATAAAATTTACCCATATAGGCAATGGCATACGACGTTGTCAGTTTATTTTTATTACTAAAAATTTAGGTAAATTAATTTGTTCAAATAATACGTCACGTTGTGACCATATATATCATATGTATTCCGCCATAGTTCCATAGAAATTAATGTTCTTTTTTAATTTTCCATTAGGGTTTTTATTGGGACCATACTTGTTCGGTGCTGGGATTTCCTGGAAGCTGTGCTTCCCGTTGCCATCTTCAATTTGAACGTGCCCACGTCTTGGAGGTGGAGCGTCCAACAACTCTACCACTAACCTGATTTTGCTCTTTGCTTCGAAATAGTTTCTTGCACTATCCAAGGATATTAACACGCAAGTTTTTGTATATTAGTTTGCTGGCCATTTCGTTAATCTAAGTTACTTATATTCGATTATTTATTAATGCTGCTGATAGTATAGTGCTATTGCCTTAGTTGTTACGATTTATCATCAGCAGATTGCACGCCGCTTCCGGAAACTAGGGTACTCGCTTACGGTTTACTTCTTACTCTCGCTTATCTGTACTCTGCGCATGTGCCTGAACTCAAGCGTTGCGATTTCGAGCTTACTGCTTATCCCTGGCTTGCTTATTATTTATTATTTGTTGCTATATCCCCTAATCTCTGGTATTGTGTACGGCGTTACATCCTGTTGACTTAATCAATTAATAATTTACAGGTGATTCATAAATAATATATTCCAACTAATTGCGCCCATTGTTCTATGATGATAAATGTAAATATATGAATATATCTAGGGTTATATTTGTTTTATTTTATTTGTAGTCAACGTCCTTTTGACTGATTTCGGTAGTTGACTTCCACTAATTAGAGGATTTATCTGGCTATTGAAAATTGTCTGGCGCCCTATAATATCTAGAACCACTCCCTTCTCCATTGAGTTGGCCAAATACCCGACGTCAGCATATGACGTGGTATCATCACGAATTATAGGTCTCAAAGGTACGTTGAGAATATGATTTATGTATTTTTCGAATAATGATATACATGTAGACATGGAATATATGATTTGTGGCGCCCCCTCTCGAAAATCACAAATAAATTTGGACAGTTTCCGTAAATTTTAATTAACTCTAAAGTGTCTAAAATAACAAAAATTAGTAATAGTACAAGAACTAAGATAAATGATTTTTAGATTTTAAAGTGATTTATTTTATTGTTATTACTTCAAGATAAGATAAAATGAATTTAGAGACAAAGAAAATTCTCCTGCTAACAAAAGGGGTAGAAAAATAAAATGCAATCTAAATACTGGAAAAATAATATAGAAAAACAGCTTAGAAATAGTGGACAATGTTACCAATCTCTGAAAACAGTCAGTAATGAAGACGCAGCAAAGTAAAAATCGTAGTCACTCGTGATGCAAAAAATTTCTTTCCCCGTACGATAATAGTTTTGTTTTGGTTCCGACAGAGTACGGTTCTAGGACGGTTCAAATTAGTTGACCATTCCATTCATAAGAACATCTAAGCCAAGACATACTGACAATACACTTGGGTAACTATTTTGAACTGTTTTAGGACTGACTGTCCGCTGACAGAACCAAAACAAGCCTAAAATTTGTTTTAAAAGTACAGATAAATTTAGATCACCAAAATGTATTAAGGAGTATCCTGGAAAATTTAGAGATTTTGTTGCAAACTGATCGACTGACGTTTACCAAAATATAAATATATTCAATTTTGGAAACCCGCAGACCAATTTACATGAAAAAGAATTCATGTTTGCAAAAAGTTTTTTATATCTGCAATCTCTGAAAACAGTCAGTAATGAAGACGCAGCAAAGTAAAAATCATAGTCACTCGTGATGCAAAAAATTTCTTTCCCCGTACGATAATAGTTTTGTTTTGGTTCCGACAGAGTACGGTTCTAAGACGGTTCAAATTAGTTGATCATTCCATTCATAAGAACATCTAAGCCAAGACATACTGACAATACACTTGGGTAACTATTTTGAACTGTTTTAGGACTGACTGGTCAGCTGACAGAACCAAAACAAGCCTAAAATTTGTTGATTTAAAAGTACAGATAAATTTAGATTACCAAAATGTATTAAGGAGTATCCTGGAAAATCTAGAGATTTTGTTGCAAACTGATCGACTGACGTTTACCGAAATATAAATGTATTCAATTTTGGAAACCCGCAGACCAATTTACATGAAAAAGAATTCATGTTTGCAAAAAGTTTTTTATATCTGCATTAGGTACAACAACTAGAACGTTGAGAATAGTAACAGAAAAGCAGGAATCACAGAAAACTAATGAAATTATTAACAAAGAACTCAGGAGGAAGCACACTAATCACGTTCCAATTGATATAAATAATAGGAAGGCAATTATTAAAGAGCACATTAAATCGATCCCGAGAATCAAGAGCCACTACTGTACGTTAATTTATTAATATTAAGAGCCGAAATTTGGAGACTGTACATTAAGAGCTATATTTTCATGTCCTACATTAACATTAAGATGAATTCAACTATTTAATTGCAAAAAAGAAGATAGCGACGATGCGTTCCATGGGTAGAGCGAAGCGGCGCATGCGCCTGCGCGCCTGGTTGCCCACAGAAAACTGACGAGCGGCTTCAAATTGATGGAGCCATATCTCGGTTAATCATGAACGTATCGAGATTCTTTTTTTTAATTTGGACTAGCGCGAAAATTCATGAGTATTGAAGTTATTGTATTAACGAAATTAACATTCTTTCAACACGAAATTTACAAAAAAATTGTTTTCCGAAATTGACAACGAACGTATTAATGGAATTAACATTCTTTCAACCTGAAATTTACAAAAAATATATTTTTCGAATTTTACAACACATATTTACCTGATATTTGTAAAATGTTAACTAGATCTTTTTGTGTACTTCAATTTTACTTGCAAGTCAAAGGGGCGGACCAACGTTTTATGACTGGGTAGTAGGTACAAATTCGGCAGGAAATATCCTAGAGGGGATAAACAGCTGACAGACTTTGGAGTTGGTAGCGTCCTTAGTCAGAGCATACAGCGTCATTCGTTTCGAAGCCCTACAAGTTAAAGCAACTCGAAAATAAAAGTGAGTGTAACCGTTGTGAAATCGTAACCGTTCTTACAGAATTGTGGTTACATCTACAGAAAGAGTACGTAATTTTAGTAAATATATTTTGTGAATATCAATAATAGACGTTGAAGATGAAGTTTGCATTCACTGCGACGAAGAGATTTTACCATCAGGAGAATGTGTTTCGACCGTAAAAAAGCGTGCTATTGCCAAATTGGTTGCTGTTAGCATGCGCAGAAATGATAGAAAGCATTTGCGTTTACAAAAATGTTCAACATTAAAAATACACAAGAGTTGCAACGTTATGTATTTGCGCGAATCAAATATTCAAGAAGCATCAGAACACGCAAGTGCAACGAAAACCAGAAAACGCTAATCAACGGGTGAAGCAACCTGGTTTAATTTCAACAGCCGCTGTTTTTTTTTTTGTGGCAAAGATACGGCTGATAAGTGCATTGCTCAATAAAACAAGCACAAATATAGATTCAGCAAAGTACAAAATGTAAATACAACAGAACTCCAACAGAATATACAAAAAAAATATAATAGATGAATATTTGAGAGCGATTTCTTTGCGATTAGAAAACGTAGATAACTTGATGGACAATGCTCACTATCATGCGGAATGTCTTCCAGAATTTATTACTTATAAAGTTCAGTCATACAAAAGGTCGCAATACTTAAGATACAAAAATTTCAGCTTTACAATTTGTTATTCATTATCTGATAAAGCATTCATACGAGTGTCAATTTTCTTTGAAACACATTCTTGAACAATATACTGCAGATGAGATTCCATCTCTTAAATATTTGAAGTTAAGATTAAATGAATATTTAGGACAAGATATTATCATTTATTCTATAAGAAATAATTACCATGATTTGCTGTTGATAAAAGAAATCAAATTTTATCAAACAATTTGTACAATGAACATTCAACTCCACAAAATATTTTAAAAATTAAAATAGGGCAGAGGCGCAGTTATGGCCTCTTCTATTTGCATGGTTGTCAGAAAAGCTAAATGCAAAGTAACTGTTGTAACCCACCGTTAGATGGCCTCATGTTATCTTTAGAGAATGTCAAATGGCTGTACCAGCAAATTTAGGCCAG